GTTCAAATAACTTGGGATGTAGTTGGGCAGTGGAGTTATGAGTTTTGTGGTTTAAGAAAAGTTGCAAAATTAACCCTCTCTTGTATTTTGTGTGTATCGCTCATGTTCATTTCCCTTGCATACCCCCTTCGCCCGCATATTGGACGTACCTAAGCATATGCCCCAAATATCCACGTATATGACCCCGTGTATCAAATCCTGGTATCCATGCTTCATAGGCGGTAACAATAATTTTTTGAAAGAATAGTAGAGTGTGACTTAAAGCGTCTCATTGATTATTTTCTTTAGGGAATACCAATTACATGAGGGACACCAACTGTGACACGCAACTGTTTCTCCTTTATTTTAGTCTCTTCTAGTCTTTCTTGATTGATTGATAAGTCTTCCCCCAGTCTTCATAACACCCACCCACCCCATGCTCCATAGTAATTCTTCTCCTTTTCATTTTATGACCATATGCATATTCTTTACCGGCAAGTCTTCCTATATAATATTATATGCCATTTAGACTTCAAATTACATAACTTATTACTATGGACTATAAAGTCTTCCTTTTCTATTCCCTTAGGCCCCGTTTGGTAGGCTAGATTGGACTGGATTGGATATATTACACTGGACAAGTTAGGATATAACTGGATTTGAAGCAATTGTCTGGTGCAATAAACACCAAGTTGAGATTGTAGGACTGGAAAATTTAAAAAAAAACAAAAACAAAAACAAAAACAAAATAATTAAAATAATGAATACAATTCTCGAAAATGCAATCCAAAATCATCTGAATTCATCCGAGTGATACAATAGTCCAATTAAAAAGAACAAACCATCAATCAAATATTGAAATTCTATCATACAATCTTTATACCAATTAAACTGGAACCTTGATACCAGACAATCCTTTCCTTACATTTGAAAGATATACTCTTTGAAAAATGGCCACCGTCTGGTCTTTCTTAGCTGAAAGACGGATACCTTTTAGTTGAGAGTAGCGTCAACCATCTGGGCTGTGCATCTTTTTTTTCATCAAGTCCTACTTGGAGAAAAGACTTCCATGAAATGGGTATAGCACTAGTTTGCTATTTCCGACCAATGACGTTTTGACATGCGTGACAACACTTCCACATAACATTGTATTATTGATCGAGTATAGCAAGTAGGGACTAGTACATTTACGCATTTGGAGGAAATTTCCACGGTAGGACCCAGTTGCTTTCACTAATTGCCGTAATTGACAAGACAATATGTAAGTCAAGTCTAACTGATCAGCAGGGACGAAAATAGATTACTCAAATATTTATTTTTCTATTCTTGTTTTGTTTAATTGGCCTGGCATTGTAATGCGAAAACAAAGAGTTACTTAATCTTTGATAGGTTCTCTCTCTCATACATGGCTTATGTACCGGCAGTTCTGTTCTTACTCTCTGCTTTAATTATCTTGATCAATGATAATATTATTGTAGAAGCTGCAAGAAATGAGTCCCATGTCATTGAATTGGGTTCCTCTCTATCCCCGGATTCTAACCTGAGGTCATGGCTCTCACCTTCTGGCCGGTTTGCCTTTGGTTTCTATCGACAAGGCAACGGCTTCACTGTTGGGATATGGCTTGTTAATGACCATAATCAGACTGAGCAAAGCATAGTCGTCTGGACTGCACGGCGAGATGATCCGCTTGTCTCCTCCAACTCTACGCTACTGCTAACGGTAGACGGTCTGCTTCTTCAAACTGAGCAAGGTGAACAAGTACCCATTGCCCGTGATTTGTCAACAACAGCAAGTTCAGCTGCTATGCTTGATTATGGAAACTTTGTAGTCTATGATTATCGTTCTGAGGTTATCTGGCAGAGCTTTGATTCCCCAACTGATACCATACTGGGGGGTCAAACTCTGACTGATGAAAAATATTTGGTATCTAGTGTGTCTGCATCCAACCACTCTAGCGGACGATTTTCGCTGCAGATGCAGGGTGATGGAAACCTCGTTTCTTACCCAGTAAATAGCTCCACCATTCCCGAAAATTCTTATTGGTCTTCCAACACTGTTGGTTCCGCGCAGCTGCTCAGTCTGAACGTATCAGGTTTTCTCGTTTTGCTTCCTGAAACTGGAGCAGGTTCTGCACATCCCTTGGCAAATGGCTCATACCATGCCCATGATGACGGAACTATTATCCACCGTGCAACGCTGGATGCCGATGGGATTTTCAGATTGTACTTGCACAATTACTCTGTGATGAGCCCCAGCTCAAGGGTGTCGATTGTTTGGTCCAATTTGCATGACCAGTGTGATGTCAAAGGTTTCTGTGGCTTAAACAGTTATTGTGCAGTCCTGGAAAAGACGAACAAAACTGAGTGTCAATGTTATCCCGGTTTTGTAATCAACCCCATTGATATGTTTCCAGGCTGCTATCAGAATGCTAGTGACGATGGCTGCACTGGCAATGAAGACCCAGGGCTGCGGTACAAGGTAGCTTCCGTCGACAATATATTATGGCTCATTGACCATCCTTATTTAGTGGTGCCATTAAAGAACCTGCAAGTTTGTAGCGACTCTTGCCTGGAAGACTGTAGTTGTAAGGCAGCGCTATACACTAATGGCAATTGCCACAAATACAAGCTACCACTTAGATATGGTAGAAGAAGCCCAGATATATCAGCAACAGGATTAATCAAGGTAGCTGCAACACACAATCTGCAGTTTCATAATCCAATGGCTCCCAGAAATTTGACATTGGTGAAATACGAAACCAAGAATAGTCATGGCTTGATTGTAATTCTTGCTGTGAGTCTGGGTTCCATTGCATGCGTATGTTTTTCCTTTGCAGTCTCCAGTTTCACCATATACATGCACCGACTGCAGAGGTACAAGAAGCTGTTGGATCATACCAAAGTGGGATTGGCTGAAGAATTATTCAGTTTACAATCGTTTTCTTACACAGAGCTTGAAGACGCAACTCATGGCTTCAAGGAAGAGTTAGGAAGGGGCACTTTTGGAGCTGTTTACAAAGGAACTCTGTCAACTAGCAACAAAATGGTTGCTGTTAAAAGGCTCGAGAAAGTTGTGGAAGAAGGAGTGAGGGAATTCAAAGCTGAAATCACTACTATTGGACGAACTCATCACAGAAACTTGGTTCAGTTGCTTGGTTTCTGTATCGAAGGCTCCCGAAAGCTTCTTGTATATGAATACATGAGCAATGGCTCGCTTGCACATCTTCTTTTTAATAAGGCCGCGACCATGCGCCCTTCCTGGAGAGAAAGAGTAGGAATTGTGTTGGATGTGGCTAAAGGGGTGCTCTATTTACACGAAGAGTGCGGTGTGCATATTATACACTGCAATTTGAAACCCCAAAACATACTTCTGGATCACTCTTGGACTGCCAAGATCTCCGATTTCGGTTTGGCGAGGCTGTTAGTGCCAAATGATCAAACAAAAATAGCTGCCGGAGTCGAACAGAGAAGCGGTTACTTGGCACCTGAATGGCAGAAGAACGCCCTGATATCAGTAAAATCAGACATCTATAGTTTTGGTATTGTGCTTTTGGAGACTGTATGCTGCAGAAAAAACATAGAGTTAAAAGTTTCAGTTCCAGATGAGATGATTCTTTCTAGTTGGGCATATAAATGCTTTAAGGCCGGAAAGTTATACAAGCTTGTAGAAGATGACGAACAAAATGTGGATTTGAAGACACTAGAAAGAATGGTAAAAGTGGGGCTGTGGTGTGTTCAGGACGACCCAGCTCTGCGTCCCCTCATGAAGAACGTAATCTTGATGTTGGAAGGGACAACGGATATACCAGTCCCTCCATCTCCAGAGCTTCCCCAAGCCTGTTGACTGTTGATTTATCTTTGTTTTAAGCATTGAAGTAATGTATATGCATGTTAAGGGAATCAAATAATCTTGATTTGATATATGGATATAGCTAGAGTCATTCATATTTTAATTTGGTGTAGCTTGGAAAATCTCTAGATTGATTTCTTTCTTTTTAATTTTCTGCTGTTTGTATCATGTCAAATAAAACGTTTCTAGACTTTAATTGATTATACTTTTAATGTTAAGTAGATCCAAACTTAAGATGGTGGTTTTCAAATTGGGTCTCTATCCACTACTTTATAGAGGGAAATCTTTATAAATCTTTGGGGCTCTTAAAGCATCTTCATTCCCTTAAAGTCTAGGATTTTGATTAGGTAGAGAATCCTGTGGTACGCCTCATTTTCTCATTCTTACGCCAAAGTCTCTTTAGACTTATTCATTAGGGACAAGGAGAAGGAAGGATGGGGCCACCAGGGGCAGCTGGCCTGCCCCC